TTTTGCCACTGCTAATCACATGCCGTAGGCCGCCTACGCAGAAAGTAATTATACGCAAAAATACTGTGGACGCAAGTAAAAATTGCGATCGGGGGTTGCATTTTTGTCAATGGCGATTCATGCCCTCTCCAAAAAGGTCGGTTGGGGGTGCCACGCCCACTCCCCCTTCGCCCACCGGACCTTTAACGAACGGCCATAATGGAAAGTTTCCCCCATAAAAATGAAAATATAATGGCAATATATCTTGTTTATAATGGATTTGATCCATCGCACCCCACGGACTTTATCGGCCGCCGATTTAAATGGGCCACAACTTATTGGTCGGAGCGATTAAGCTGGTGTAGTGTGCGCACCTCCATACATCTTCATGTACATATTTCAAGCGAGCCCTATTATTTAAATAGGCGGCCGATAAACTCTGTGGTATGCGGTGGCTCTTATAGCTATATCCTTACACCTATTTCGTGTGTTGCAATATCCACGAAAGCAGCAGTTAATTTTTTATGAAGAAAATTATTAAAAAATATTCGAAAATTATTAATTTTTCTAACGTCAAAAGCTGGATTTTTTTTTGAAAAAGTTGGTACAACAAAAAATACGAAACACGTTTTCTGTCAGATAGCTAACATGGCGGATAAGAAGAAGAAGTGAAACTACCTTCTAAAAATTATTGTATCATGGGTGTCATTATAATATTGTTATAACTTTAGAACTACTTGTTGTCTAAACCTGAAACTTTCCCAAAAATATCCGTATATATTTGTCTTTAATGCTGCATTAAAACAAAACAAAAATTTTAAACTTCATCACACAACTTTTGCATTTGTAAAAATCACCTCTTTAATTTTTATAAAAAATGTTAAAATATGCGTAATTTTGTTTTAAATAAATATTAAGTGCAGGTAGACTTATTTAGAATAGTATCTAGTTTATTGTGTACAAATTGCAAATCAATCGATACACAAACGTCTGAGATATAGCGAGTTGAAATGAAAATTTCGCAAAAATTTACCGCAGTGAAAAATCCGATTTTGTGGCTATTTCGACATACAGGTATGAGTAAAAATTTGGTTAAAATTAACTATAAATGTATTTTCGAATAAGCTATCGATTACAATTGGTTTTAAATCGCTACACTTCATTTAAATTTTAGGTTTTTTTACGCTGCTTGTTGTTTTCGCTGTTGTTGTCGCCCAATTTTGCGAGAAAAGAATAACGGACCTGCGCATTGCGCAACCTCTTGTATATAAACCTTGGCTATATTTAAAAAATTTGCTTAAACAGTTGCTTTCGACTGCGTGAATAACGCAGCAAGGAAAAAGGCAAAAGCAAAAATGAGAATACACCAAACTTAGAGCTGAAACACAATGCCGGTGAACGGCGAACTTACCACAGCGAAGTTCAGAGCGAAATGCGGAGTTCGCTCGGCGGCGTTTCGTGGCGATAGATTTATTTCTATCGCCCTACTGGGCGATGGCAGCTAATACGGTAATAACGCAAAATTTGCTTTATTTTACTCTCAAAAGAGAAATATTACCAAAATCTGAGTTTTCCTTTATTTCCAACAAAGGCCGAAGGCCTATAGGCGTTGGCAAGAAAATAATATAGGCAAAGCCAGCTTGCATGCCAGTGTTTTGATAAAAATTTTATCATTACTATTGCACATTCCAAATTCTTTTGGTTTGCAAAATTACATGAGGGATTTGGAACTTTGTCGGAAACATTTCACCCCTTAAGACCAGTATGCAGCTCTCAAGAAAACGGTCAAGAAAAAATTGCGATTATTTCGAGTGTGTGTCCAAGGAATTTTGACATCTGATATTTCACCAGCCTGTTGCCTCACTCTTTCGTCAAGAGTGCGTACTGCTTTAAGAAAATTTTACACAAGAAAATTTCTTAGCCATTTCTTGTACGTCATTTTGTATGAAGTTTTTGCTTTTCTTGAGAGCTGCATACAGGCCTTTATATAGTGACATACCCCCAAGAAAAAAATTGTGTTGTGACATAATCCCAAAGAGGAACCGATCGGTGAACCTCACATCTTCCCCGGTGGAGAACTCTCCCAAACGGAAACCAGGTCCAGCTGACAAAAGGGCCCATATGGGACCAAAGGAACCTAGTGTTAAGGCAACTTTTGCCGATGTCACAAAGGCGCCGACCTGTCAGGCGGACATTGGTAATGGGGTTAGGTTAGGGTTACTCCCCAAAAGGTACCCTAAAGCACTTTGGTCCTTAGACCAACTACAGGCCATTCAGACGGCCATCCTGGAGGAGGTGAGGCGGCAGCGAAAGGGCTCTGTGAAGCCCAAGTTTAGCGGTTGCACCTTCCGTCCGGGATGGATGTCAATTGGCTGCGGAGACGCTGAAACGTTGGAATGGCTGAGCAAGGTATCCCAAACCCTGAAGCCTTGGAAGGGCGCGGAAATTATGGCAATGAAAGCCACTGACGTGCCCAAACCCAGTGTATACGTTGGGTACTTTCCGGAGCCATTAACCCCTCCAGTGGACAGTATCCTTGGCCTTGTCGAGGGTCAGAACGAAGGGATGCGGGTAGGTAGCTGGAGGGTGCTCAACAGGGTACAGAAAGGACCCACCACTGAGCTCACTCTAGCGGTTGACCCGCACTCAGCGGAGACACTCGACAGGCTGGGATACCTAGTCAATTATGGATATGGCAGGGTGCGCATCCATAAAAAGGGAAGACGACTGAGTCGTCAGACCCGAAGGGTACACAGCCTGCTATAGCCAGTTCCTCCTCCACTGCACAAAGTGCGTGCATCAAAGAGGGACCTTGCGGTTCCAAGGACGTACCCAAGGGACTGCAAAGGTTACCTTCAGAGCAGTCAGGGGCAGCGGAGAAGCAAAAAGCACCTGTCCAGGAGTCCATAGAGCGGCCCTGCTGCTCAGAAGACACTCCTGGCACGGAAAAGAGGGTACCTTCCAGCCCAGAGAAATCGAAGGCCCTTTTCGCCCAAAATCCCTTCCGTCCTCCGCTAGTCCCGGAACAGCGCGCGAAAGCGGACGTGGTTTTTCTGCGCTCCGTGATTTTTTGTGTTTTTCGGGCTATATTGGCCTTTTAAAGGACCAGAGCAAATGCACGTTTTAGGCGATCAAGACAGTGACTTTATCTTGCTTAATGGCTATCAAAAAAAAAATAAATAAATAAAAACTAATCATTAAATTAAAATGCCTTGTGTTTGTGGACTAAGAGTCGAGAGAAGCGCCAAAGCTAAAGTGCAATGTGCCAAGTGCAATGACTTTTTTCATTTAGGCTGTGTTGGTGTCACGTCAGCCGATGTTGAGTTTCTACTTAGCTCGGCAAAACATTATTTTTGCAAAATATGTGCGGATGTTCGTCGCAGATCTATCCGCACCCCTCCTCCTCCAGTTAGTGTAGATGAGAATGTAATATCAACAAACGAAACTCACTCGTATAATTTGGAACAAATTGACAATGCAAAAACAATGCCTATTGCGGACAGTGTAATTGAGAATGCGATGTCAACAAGTGTAGCTAACTATTTTTAAAAGTGGTAAAAAAAAATGATGTTCGCAACTATCGGCCTATTTCTAAGCTCTCAACGATTTCTAAAGTTTTTGAACACATAGTTAAAGATAAGATTAACTTTGCTGTTAAATCGCTTGTTTGCCATAATCAGCATGGCTTTGTCGGTGGCAGATCTACTGCTACCAATCTCACAGTTTTTAGTGAGTATTGTATTGCGGCCCTTTCGTCCGGCCTTCAGGTGGATTGCATTTACACCGACTTCTCAAAAGCTTTTGACAAGGTTTCACACAAGATTTTAATTGAAAAACTAGCTTGCTTGGGGTTCCATTCTATTTTCTTGGACTGGATTAATTCCTACCTGTGTAATAGGCGGTGCGTAGTTTCCCTTGAAGGTATCAACTCAGAGCCTTTTTTAGCGTCTTCTGGGGTCCCTCAAGGTAGCATCCTAGGCCCTCTTCTTTTTGTGTTATTTATTAACGACGTGACTAGTTGTTTTTCATTTGCTAACTACCTACTTTACGCCGATGACTTGAAAGTATTTTCGACAATCAAGGATACATCAGATGCATTTTTGCTGCAACGTGATCTCGATAGCCTTTACACATGGTGCTTAAAATCTCGTCTTTCACTCAATATCAAAAAGTGCTTTAGTGTCACTTTTTCCAGACTACTTAATCCCATAAATACCATTTATCGTATTTCGAGCCGCGATTTGCTCTGTGTCTCTGAAATTAAAGATCTTGGGGTTATCTTTGAAACCAAATTTTCATTCAGTAGTCATATCAATTATATTACCTCTAAGTCCTACTCTGTACTTGGCTTCATTAGACGTAACTCTACTAAGTTTTCTGACCCGTATACTATGAAATTACTTTATACTTCATATGTTCGTTCTCATTTAGAATATGCGGTTGTTGTTTGGAGACCTAGTAATCAGCTTTACAGTAATAGAATTGAACGTGTTCAAAAAGTATTTTTGAATTTTGCCCTACGCTCCCTGAGATTTCAGACCCCGATTCCATCGTACGAATCACGTTTATCGCTAATAAATTTAAAAACTTTAAATAATCGTAGGACAGTGTTATCTCTATCTTTTACACACGGTATCATTAATGGACTTATTGATTGTCCCTACTTGCTAAATAGGATTACTTTCAATATTCCTCGGCGGACCCTGCGCAACTTTTATCACTTCTACGGGGAGAATCACAAAACCATCTTTGCGAGTAATGCTCCAATTGCGCGAGCTACACGGGATCTTAATCTCATTGCTAACTCGGTAGCTCTTGACTTCTCATTGTCGAAGGGCTCTTTTTTAAATCTTTTGTATACCATTTTCTAGTAAATTTTTCCCAATTTTTATTTACAACTTATTATACATATGTAAGTTATTTGCTAGTCTGTAAGAACTTTGTATGTTCATAGACAATAAATAAATAAATAAATAAATAAATAAATAAATGCGAATCGGAGACAAGGTCGAGGGGAGATTTCGATGGAGGAGAAGACCCTGATGGCCACCAATGGGGGGAAAAATATGGCCAAGCGGGCTTCAAGGCCGAAAAATGGCAAACCCCCAAAGCGATAAGCCTAGGCACATCAAGTGCCTGCAAGTGAACCTCCATCATGCAAAGGCGGCCTCTGACGTCTTATGCAGGAGGTTCAAAACAGAACTTTTGGATGTCGCATTCATCCAAGAACCGTGGGTTTTCGCCGGGGCTATTAAAGGCCTAAACGACTGTGATGGTAAGATAATTTACGATACCACACACTGCAGGCCCAGAGCGGCCATATTACTACGTAATAACATGACTTTTTTTCCCATTTCAGAGTTGACACAACAGGACTTAGCTGCTGTATGGACTAAAGTGCCCACTCAAATGGGAGAACAAGAGGTCGTTCTCGCTTCAGCTTACCTCGCAGGCGACAGCTGTGAGATGCCCACAAGGGAAGTAATAGCCCTAGAGGAGTACTGCAGAAGGAGAAAGCTGAAACTAGTAATGAGCTGTGACGCCAATGCCCATCACTGTGTTTGGGGTAGCTCGGACACCAATTCTAGAGGTGAGTCATTTCTTGAATTTATCACTAAGAACAATTTATTTATTCTTAACCGGGGTAATGAGCCGACCTTTGTCAATGCTAGGGGAGGTTCTAGACTTGACAATTTCCTCAACTAGCTTGTCGACCTTTATCTCAAACTGGCATGTCTCAAATGAGGTATCTATGTCGGACCACCGGCATATTCGATTTGATATAGAAGCCCAAAGAGTAACAAACCATGTTTACAGAAATCCCAGAAAAACAAACTGGGAACTCTTTCGCCTCCACATAGAGCGGGAAGTGAATGGTTCTACGGCACCAATTTCATACGTCTATGAACTTGAGGACGAGGCGAGAAAGTTCCAAGATGTTCTCAAACAAGGTTTTGAAGAGAGCTGCCCACTGAGAACCAAGAAGTCTCAAAGGGATGTCCCTTGGTGGAGCGATTCTCTCGGAAAACTAAGGAAAAGAGCCAGGAAGCTTTTCAATAGGGCAAAGTCAACAGGTGACTGGACCGCCTACAAGTCAGCCCTAACCGCTTACAACTGTGAGCTCAGAAGGTCTAAAAGGGCTACGTGGCGTGAGCACTGCTTAAGTATTTCCTCTCTTCCAGAGGTGGATCGCCTTCAGAAGGCCCTTAAACTAGATCATCTGAAAGTCCTATGCACTTTGAAAAGACCAAATGGTACCTACACTGGCACCCCGGAAGAAACCAGCAGGCTTCTGCTAGAAACCCACTTCCCGGGATGTATTCCCCAAGGCACATGTCTTTCAACAAACACGGCGAACACTGTGTGCGCAAACAGGAGGACAAGAGGCCTAGCAGGAAGAATCGTCAGTGTGGAAAAGATATCGTGGGCCATTTCAACCTTTAGTGCATATAAATCCCCTGGTCCAGATGGTATCTACCCATGCCTGCTGCAGCAGAGCTTGGGCTTAATATCTGGGCCACTAGTAAGATTGCTGAGAGCAAGTCTCTTACTTGCTCACATACCAACAACATGGAGTGAAGTCAAAGTGGTCTTTATACCCAAAGTGGGGAAAAACTCAGCACAACTCCCAAAGGCGTATAGGCCAATTAGCCTCAGTTCCTTTCTAGTAAAGACTCCGGTGACTCAAGTCACTGAAAAGGCATTGCGGTATAAACAGATAGCTTTGTGTGCATTCCTGGACATATCAGGTGCTTTCGACAATACGTCTTATGAAGCAATATCGACAGCTATGATACGAAAGGATATTCCTGTCCTTCTAACGGATTGGATCATAAGCATGTTGAGATCCAGAACCATAATACCGGAACTAGGAGACAAAAGGCAAGCAGTAACTGCCACCCGTGGCTGTCCTCAAGGGGGAGTCTTATCGCCCCTACTTTGGACACGGGTTGTTGACGAACTTCTTGAAAAGCTAAATGGCAATGGATTCAAGGCATATGGATATGCAGATGACCTAGTCATCTACGTTGTCGGCTGGCATGAGGACACAATTTACTCCAGATTGCAAGCTGCGCTCAGTCTAACGGAAGACTGGTGTGCTTCAAAGGGATTGTCAATAAACCCGCAGAAGTCCACCGTTGTCCCATTTACCAATAGAAGGAAAGTCAACTTGACTAAACCCACTTTGGCAGGGACAGAAATTGAGTTCTCAGAAGAGGCGAAGTATCTAGGGGTAACTCTGGACAAAAGGCTCAATTGGAACTCACATCTCCTTAACATTACCAACAAGGCTACAAGGGCGTTTTATGCCTGCCAGAGACTCCATGGTAAAACTTGGGGAATATCACCCAAACTAACGTATTGGTCTTTCAATACGGTCGTGAAACCTGTTGTCACATATGCGGCACTGGCCTGGTGGCCAAAAGCAAAGAAAGCAAGTGCGTGTGCCACCTTGAGCAAGCTACACCGCTTGATCTGTGTGGCCATCACAGGAGCTATGCGCACCTGCCCAACGGATGCCCTCGGTATAATTACAGGCATTCCTCCTCTATCTATTCTGATAGAAAAGGAGGCCTGCTGGAGCTCCATACGGCTGCCCAATGTAATCAGCATGAAGAGTGGAGATCTTTGGGGTCACTTGGAGGTTCTCAAGCCTTTTCTGGATGATCCCGCTATCAAGCTCACAGATATCATGCTACCGAAATTATCCTTTGATAAGCCCTACAAGGTCAGAATTCCTGAAAGGGACTGCTGTAAAGCGATAATATCTATGATTGACAAAGGGTCCCAAGTATGGTATACCGATGGATCAAAGATGGAAGACGGGAGTACTGGGGCAGGCGTGCTTGGACCAAGGTTCCAGAAAAGTCTGCCAATGGGCTCATACCCAACCATATTCCAGGCGGAGATCTTCGCAATCGAAGTCTGTGTTCGAGAATGTCTTCGGAGAAGGACAAACGGGGCCAGAATAAATATTATGTCGGATAGTCAGGCAGCACTAAGGGCCTTAGACTCATTTAAAACGACATCAAGGCTTGTGACAGTTGTCTTCTGAATAGCCTAGGAGCCCATAATAGAGTTACGCTGTGGTGGGTCCCTGGGCATGAAGGGTTTGAAGGCAACGAAAGGGCTGACTATCTCGCAAAACGTGGGGCCCAAACGCGAATGCATGGTCCCGAGCCTTTCTGTGGTACATCTACAGGATACACTGCAGAACTACTTAGGAGTTGGGAGGAATCTCAGATTGCTGCCCACTGGCGTAAGTCAAAGGGAATGAGACAATCAAAGAAATTCCTAACTCCTTCCAAGAGGAACTCAGAAAGACTCCGTGAACTCAGCCGGGAGGGTCTTAGGACTATTACAGGCTACCTGACAGGACACTGCAAGTTAAGGTACCATCTAAACAAAATGGGGCTTTCTGTAGAGACGGACTGCAGGTTCTGTGGGCTGGCGGAGGAAACCTCGGAGCACATTCTGTGTGACTGCCCGCGTATCATGAATAGCAGACTGATGCACCTTGGGGAACGATTGTCTTCTCCATCCAAGATTTGGAACACGGCACCCTGCAATGTGCTTAATTTCTTGAATAGCCTAAGGTTGGAGTGACTACAATCAGGGTTTAGCACAATAGATCTTTTAGGTCGCAGCGCGAGTATACCCGACGTACTAATAATAATAATAATAATCCCAAATTTTAAAATTGGAGTGATGCCACTTGTGGCTATGTCACGGCACCGATTGCTGAGTACGAGGCCTTATGTTTGACAAAAGGGGGAGTATAAGGGACTCAAATGGAGGAAGACTTGCGTGCCGTTTGCGCTTTTCTCTCAAAGTGTTTACCGCTGGTAAACCCAAATAAAAATTAAAATTGAAAACCTTATTAATAAATCTTTAGTAAAATCTGTGGAAAATTAACAATAAACTGTTTTTTTTCGCAAAATATATGAAGGACCCTTTATTCTTCGAAAAAAAAAACTGTACGATAGTTATTATTTTACACCATGTATATGATAAAAAATTAAAAACTGGAAAAAGGAGTACAAACCCCAAAATATAGTATATTTCCAGATTTTATTTTTTGGGAGTACAAGGGAGTACATTGCAATAAAAAGGATTACGTTTACTCCCAAAAGCAGTACGTCTGGCAACCCTAGGTAGAGCATACGACATTGCAGGGTTAAGGCAAACGCCGTTAAGAGCAGTCCAATGCGAGATAGATGATGTCCATAAATCAGATGTGATTCTGTCCAAATCCCTTAAGGACCCGATAAATATATCTGGATGTCATCGACATATGCATGCAGTTTTACATATTGGCATGTCATGAATATGTCATTTATTAATGCACTAGATAATAGGGGTCTTCACCAAAAGTGATAAACTGTTGATAAACTTGATGAAATTATAAATTTATCATTTTGATAAATGAACTGTCAAACTTTGTAGGGAAAACTATTTAACCAAAGTTTATCACTTTATCAAACGATTTTGGTGGATAAACGTATAAATTTCAGCTAAATTCAACCCTGACAAGACTGCTAGGCGGTCGATTTTGCTACGATCACATAAAAAGCAAATTAGCACAATGGACGAGGTAAGAATGAAACGTAATTAGCCAGATAAGTTAAATAATAAAAAATGTTGTGCAATTATTTAGCAAGGTGCGTTCATGAAAGAATGCGGATAAACTGATAAATTCAAGCAATTTATCCCTTTATCACTTTAGATGAAGACCCCTAATAATCAATAGCTTTATTTATGTATGTTCGATCAGTTTGTATTTTATGAAAATTTAGTTTGTGATAGGCTTGTCTGATCTATTTATTAAGGGCCGGTTGCTCAAAGCCGGATTGACACTAATCATCGGTTAATATCGTTATCGACGTCTTCGGCTCCATGCTTATAACACAGTGTCGGTAACGTCGATAACGATGTTTAACCGGAGATTAGTGTCAACCAGGCTTTGAGCAACCGACCCTTTGTGTAAATAAAACGAGGTTATTTCACTTACGGTCCAGCGTTTCGCTAATCTGCTTAGCATCTTCAAGGGCGTGTTTATTTTATTATATAAATACATGTGTGATATTAAATAAAGGGACAAAAATACATATAAATGGGGCGTTCCATACCAAAATGGACGGGGTTCAGACTTCACGTGTTTGATTTGTTTCAAATTTTTAGGTTTGATGGATAAACATAAAAAATGAATAAATATGAAATTTGGGCTTGGTTAATACATTTTCAAAAACTTTACAGCACAACAAACAAAAAAAATCGATTTAATAGTTTTCCAAATATCTCGAGAACGGGGCGAGGAAAAAATTTAAAAAATCACACATACAGAAATCAAAATTTTCGATGAAAATAAATATAAAAAAAAAAAATTCTTGACAAATTTTTCATATACAATTTTTTTGATAAAAAATATTAGTTTTTGAAAATATGCCATCTCGAAAAAAATTGAAAAAGATCATAATGGAGGCTCTGAGTATTGCGCAATATTTAAGCATAGTATTATGGGGTGCACTCTACAATAATTTGGGTTGTGATTTTTTTTGCACCGAAGTTGATTAAAATGAGTACATTACAAAATTACAAATTTTTTTTTGAATTATTTTTATTTTGAGTATGCTGTCTTGTAGTCCATTAAATTTTAGTATAATAAGTGAAAGTTTTAAGCTACTGCAAAATTACGTTGTGAGACTGTCAAATGGAATTAAGAATATGTCGGTGTGTTTAGCTTAGGGAGAGCGGGAGACCAGGTTTAGAGTTGTGGTCGAG